ATGGAAGACATATTACAGAAATTGAGATAATTTTGACTGGTTTTACAATGAAAAGTACCTTGAAATTGAGCTCAAATTAGCAGAAATGTTAGATTTTTACCAAAGTTCAAAAGTAAACAAATCATGATAAGCGTCCAATACACATCAACTGGTGAATCTAATATTCTTTCACAAGTGCGCCAATATTATTTATACCATTTCTACACTAATGCAGTACTCTGCATAACTAAATCCTCTATTTTTCGTGAAAATAAGAATTCAAAGTGGAAAGCAAAAGAATGTAAGAGGGGCGTAGGGACGTGACTAGTGAACAGAGGAAATGTTATTTTAGTGCCAGGAATATCTTTCTTGTTTATTCCGGACCCTATTTGGAAATTGGCATCTTTTGAAATTTGTGTGCAATTGGCAAAATTGCTAAATTCTGACCACTGTATTGAACAGTTGAAATTGGTAAATGGGTGGTTTTCTTGTACTCATTCGATAGAAAAAATGGAGTTCTAGTGAAATAGTTATGATTTTTGTTGACCAGTACATTGGAATTGGCTGAAAATAGGGCTCAAATTGGGCAAAATCACCGATGCGTAAACATCGTCGAGACCGCTAACTTCGCAAGAGCATAATTCCGTAAGTTTTCCATCAAATTTCATACTTTTGGTGTCATTATGATCGGGAAAAGATTGTCTATCTTTTCATAAGAAAAAAAATAATTTTTTTTTTAAATTTGGCTGACCCTGAGAATAGGTCTGGGAGAGGGCCTGGCGACCCTGAAAGGGTTAATTGCTACACTCTTAAAGATAAACTTCATCACTTAACTGATACGATTTTTATTTTTATGCTACTTCACTATACACTGATTTTTGGCTTTTTCACCACGCTTTTCACACTTTCATCTGCAGGGCATTTCAATAAAAAACTGTCCAAGGAAGTTTGTTTCTTCCTCCCTTTCAGAATGTTTCAGAAATGAGTTATGCAAGCATCATTAACCCTTTGACTGACGAGACCTCTGCCTACCAACTTGCTCTCAGTGTCAAAGAATTTAAAAGAAATATATATATATATATATATATATATATATATATACAGTGGACCCCCGCTTAACGATCACCTCCAAATGCGACCAATTATGTAAGTGTATTTATGTAAGTGCGTTTGTACGTGTATGTTTGGGGGTCTGAAATGGACTAATCTACTTCACAATATTCCTTATGGGAAAAAATTCGGTCAGTACTGGCACCTGAACATACTACTGGAATGAAAAAAGTTCGTTAACCGGGGGTCCACTGTACAGTGGACCCCGCCATAGCGAACTTAATCCGTGCAAGAGGGCTGGTCGTTATGTGAAATGTTCGCTATGCGAATTAATTTTCCCCATAAGAAATAATGGAAATAAAATTAATCGTGCAAGACACCCAAAAGTATGAAAAAAAAATTTTTTTTACCACAAAAAAAATGTTAATTTTAGTACACACAAACTGAAAAAGGCATGCACAATTACATGACACTTACTTTTATTGAAGATCTGGTGATGATTGATGGGATGGGAGGAGGGGAGAGCATTATCTTCTTACTGTTTAGAAGGGGAATCCCCTTCCATTAGGACTTGAGGTAGCAAGTCCTTTTTGGGGTTACTTCCTTCTTCTTTTTTAATGCCACTAGGACCAGCTTGAGAGTCACTGGACTCTGTCGCACAACAAATCTGTCCATAGAGCTCTGTACCTCCCGTTCCTTCAAGACTTTCCTAAAATGGGCCATAACATTGTCATTGAAATAGTCACCAGCACGGCTTGCAACAGCTGTGTCAGGGTGATTTTCATCCATAAAGGTTTTTGCAGTTCAACCCACTGTGCACAATTTCCTTAATTTTTGAAGTAGGCACAATGGATTCCCAACAACTGGCATAGGCTTCTCAGGGTTACCCCCAAAACCCCTTTTCAAATCTTTCTTAATTTCCATACTAATTCTCCCCCTTTTTTTCCACAGGGTTGGCACTAGAAGCTTTCTTGGGGCCCTGGTCACTTATTTTCCAGAAACAGCACGAAAACACTGTAATAATACGAAATATTCCGAGTGTATGTTTGGGAATGTTACGCGGAGGCTAGTGGTAACAATGGGACGGGCGACATGTGAGGCTGCTGAGGGCCCACATTGGACGCGTCTCGGACGAGTTCGTTTGAGCGGGTTTTTGTCTACTATGCGGGGAAAAATTTCAGCGAACAAAGCGTTCGCTATGCGGATTGTTCGCTATGCAAGGGTTCGCTTTTGGGGGGGTTTCCACTGTATATATATATATATATATATATATATATTATTTATATATATATATATTATATATAATTTTTCTTATGAAATAATAGAGAATCTTTTCCTGATGGTAATGACACCAAAAGTACGAAATTTGATGGAAAATTTACAGAATTACACTCCCACGAAGTTAGCAACCTTGGCGATATTTACACATCGATGATTTCGCCCACTTTGAGCCCTATTGTCAGTTAATTCCATTTTTCCAGTCCACCAAACTCATAGCTATTTCTTTAGAAATCCATTTGTTGTATTGAATGAGTACAAGAAACTCCCCATTTACTGATTTCAACTACCCAATAAAGTGGTCAGAAACTGGCAATTTATCCAATTTCACACAAATTAAAAAAGATGCCAATTTCAAAATAGGCTCCAGAATGAACAATGCAGATATTCCTGGCACTAAAATAACATTTCCTCTGTACATCATTCACATCTCCAGGCCCCTTTTATAGTATTCTTGCTTTCTACTTAGAATTTTTATTCACACAAAAAAATAGAATATTTACTGTTATGCAGACTACTGTACACTGAGTTCAGTGGTCACATGTGGTCATACCTGTCCTAAGCTCTCTGGAAGTTAGCGTGGGGTGTTACCAAGTACCATGGCTTGTAGTGTTTTAGAATCTTAGGCTCAAGTGTTAAAGGAGGAGGTTCTACTTCTTCAGGAGGAAAATAGGAGGCTGAAGCTTCTCCTAGATGGGTTTGGGAGTGAGTGTGAGATGGATTTAGCTGGTAAGGAGGAAATGGTCACCAGCAGTGAGAGTGGCAGCAGCTTTAAGTGGCAAGTGGTTCACAGTTCAGGAAGAAGGAAGATAAGGAGGGTTAATAGAGAAGATGTGAAGGTAGGAAATCAATTCTCTGTTCTCCAGGACGAGTGTACTTCAGTGGTTAGTGAGGTTGAAGGTAACACTGATTACCCTGCTAATCAGGGTAAGAATATTCTAATTGTAGGAGATTCTCAGGTAAGATATATGGACCGTGCTTTTGGTAACAGAGATAGAAAGGTCAGACAAAGGGTGTGCCTCCCAGGAGCTGGTGTTGGTGACATAGTCAGCAGGTTGGATAATATTATTTCAGGTAATGGGAACAAGCCCATTATCTGTCTAAGTGCTGGGGGTAATGACATTGGGAAGGGCAGGAGACAGGAGCTGCTGGATAAGTACAAGTCAGCCATAGAAGTAGTCAGGTCTAAGGGAGGGATCCCAGTCATATGTAGCATCTTGCCTAGGAAGGGAGTGGGCAATGAATGGATGTCTAGGGCAATTGGTATAAATTGCTGGCTAGACAGGTACATCAAGGAACTTGCAATCCCATTCATTGATAACTGGGACAAATTCTATGGCAAACATGCGATGTATGCAAGGGATGAGGTTCATCTCTCCTGGGCTGGAGTGGTTGCATTAGCCAATTCGATTGAGGGGGTAATGGATAACTTGTCTAGGACTTTAAACTGATAGATTACAGAGGTATGGGAGTTTGCAGGAAACAAGCAGGCTGCAGTATTAGGGTTGAAAACAGCAGATATTACCAGGATACCTCAAGAATATGTTTAAAAGACAATATTCAAAATAAAGTTGCTAATAAAGGCAAATCAAATGATCAACAAACAGAGATAGTAGAGGGCAACATGTGACTAGTTCCCTTAAGGTTTACTATACAAATAGTAGGAGTCTAAGAAATAAGATAGATGAGCTAAGATTACTTGCAAGTGCAGGTAATATAGATATTATTGGTATAACAGAGACCTGGTTCAACCTGAGTGGTGCGTTGAGGTATATGTGGAGACAAAAAAACGTTATCAATAGAGGCAAAGAAAGGAATGTATGAAAGTATAGTAGTACCAACACTCTAATATGGGTGTGAAGCTTGGGTTGTAAATATTGCAGTGAGGAGGCAATTGGAGGCAGTGGAGATGTCCTGTCTAACGGCAATGTGTGGTGTGAATATTATGCAGAGAATTCGGAGTGTGAAAATTAGGAGAAGGTGTGGAGTTAATAAAAGTATTAGTCAGAGGGCTGAAGAGGGGTTGTGCTGAGGTGGTTTGGTCATTTAGAGAGAATGGATCAAAGTAGAATGACATGGAGGGCGTATAAATCTGTAGGGAAAGGAAGGTGGGGTAGGGGTCGTCCTCGAAAAAATTGGAGGGAGGGGGTAAAGGAGGTTTTGTGGGCGAGGGGCTTGAACTTCCAGCAAGCGTGCATGAGTGTGTTAGATAGGAGTGAATGGAGACGAATGGTATTTGGGACCTGATGAGCTGTTGGAGAGTGAGCAGGGTAATATTTAGTGAAGGGATTCAGGGAAACCAGTTATTTTTATATAGCCGAACTTGGGTCCTGGAAATGGGAAGTACAATGCCTGCACTTTAAAGGAGGGGTTTGGGATATTGGCAGTTTGGAGGGATATGTTGTGTATCTTTATATGTATATGCTTCTAAAGTGTTGTATTTTGAGCACCTCTGGTAAAACAGTGATTATGTGTGAGTGTGGTGAAAGTGTTGAATGATGATGAAAGTTTCTTCTTTCTTTTTGAGCTCTTATCATAAATTTTAAACTGTCACAAGTACAGAGTGATGCAGTCGCTTATGGTAAAATGTTTCCCTTAATAAATGTTACGAGTTGAACAAGGTTTTCTTTACCACAGCTTGTCAGTATTATCATAACATTTACAATCAAGTATGGTATAAATAAAATACTTACCATGTGTGCCAACTATTCCAGCCAGTTCTCCGATTTCTGTCTGATGGCCACGCAGTCTGACAGAACATCCAAAATCTCCTAGTTTCAAAGTATTGCCTTCATCAGACAGGAAGATATTGGCACCTTAAAAACAAAAAAACATAAAGAGAACAATTACAAAAAATTTATGTATTATCATTCATAACATTTTTCTTGAAGAAAATGTGTATACATGAGGTATACATTTCTAGAATTTCATGTAAATATAACATTCCTTCATTACTACTTTTGAATTCTTCCATACTGTTTTCTTTATTTTCAGGTCTTTATTCTGCTTTCCTATTTTCTTAGTGCATATATACGACAAAGCAATTCTCATGCTTATTATTTCTTGAGTGTAAATTTTAGTTGTTTGCCTGACATAATTTAATATTGTTAACAAATGGGTTCAGTGTTGCTAAGTGTGTATTAGTTAAAAGAATGAGGCTAAGTAGGAAGAGAAATGGAGAAATTGTAGAAAATGTAATCCAATTTTGTATTTTATGTCAATGTACATGAATCTAGTTTCCATCGTCAAGAAAGAACTGTTTTCTTAATGTTCTGAATGAAAGGAAGCTGGAAGTCCTAGCACTGAGCAAAACAAAGATAACAGAGGTGGTAGAGCTTACATACGAAGGAATAAATGGCATTAAGTTAGCTGTGTGACAGAACAAGGGTTAAATAAGGAGGAACAGTATGCTAAACAATCAATTGTGGAAAGGAATAAAAGCACAGTGGAACCTCTACTTGCAAGCTCATCCACGTGAGAGTTTTTCCAAATACGAGCAGTCGATCGGTTGATTTTTTGCTTCCATAGGAAAGTGAAATTTCCATAAGCGAGCGGGTCTCAAGGGAGGTTCCACGATGCTGATGAGGGGCTCTTGCTCATGATCTAGGGAATTGCATCTCATTTGTTTGTTGGGCTATCTTATTGAAACTTGGGCAATGTGTGATGGAAAGATGCTTCTTAATGTACACCAAAAATGAAAGAAATCGGACCATAAATAATGGAGTTCACTTCTCAGCAATTAGCTGCCCCTTAGTGGTATTTTCCTATGGTTTTTATGGTTGTATTCTCGTTTTTTCTCATTTGATAGAATGGAAGATATATTACAGAAATAAATATGATTTTGAGTGGTTTCATGATGAGAAATACCTTGAAAATGAGCTCAAAATAGCAGATATGTTGTAATTTTGCCGATGTTCAACAGTAAACATTCCAATATGCAGTCGTGAATGGATTGACGTTATTACAATAATGCAGTAGTCTGCATAACAGTAAATCTTCTGTTTTTTGTGTGACTAAAAATTCCAAATTACAGTGGACCCCCGGTTAACGATATTTTTTCACTCCAGAAGTATGTTCAGGTGCCAGTACTGACCGAATTTGTTCCCATAAGAAATATTGTGAAGTAGATTAGTCCATTTCAGACCCCCAAACATACACGTACAAACGCACTTACATAAATACACTTACATAATTGGTCGCATTCGGAGGTAATCGTTATGCGGGGGTCCACTGTATTTATATTGTAATAATAATAATAATAATCCTAGGTAGTAGGTTGGTAGACAGCAACAGCCCAAGGAGGTACTACCATCCTGTCAAACGAGTGTAAAACGAAAGCCTGTAATTGTTTTATATGATGGTAGGATTGCTGGTGTCCATTTTTCTGTCTCACAAATACGCAAGGTTTCAGGTACGTCTTGCTACTTCTACTTACACTTAGGTCACACTACACATACATGTACAAGCATATATATATACACACCCCGCTGGGTTTTCTTCTATTTTCTTACTAGTTCTTGTTCTTGTTTATTTCCTCTTACCTCCATGGGGAAGTGGAACAGAATTCTTCCTCCGTAAGCCATGCGTGTCGTAAGAGGCGACTAATATGCCGGGAGCAAGGGGCTAGTAACCCCTTCTCCTGTATATATTACTAAATGTAAAAGGAGAAACTTTCGTTTTTCCTTTTGGGCCACCCCGCCTCGGTGGGATATGGCCAGTGTGTTGAAAGAAAGAATAATAATAATAATAATGATAAGAAAGAGATGATTGTGGATGTTATGAATGAGAAAAAGCTGGATGTCCTGGCTTTAAGTGAAACAAAGCTGAAGGGGGTGGGAGAGTTTCAGTGGAGAGGAATAAATGAGATTAGGTCAGGGGTTTCAAATAAAGTTAGAGCTAAAGAAGGAGTAGCAGTAATGTTGAAGGATAAGCTATGGCAGGAAAAGAGGGACTAGAATGTATTAATTCAAGGATTATGTGGAGTAAAACAAAGATTGGATGTGAAAAGTGGGTTATAATAAGCGTGTATGCACCTGGAGAAGAGAGAAGTGTAGAGGAGAGAGAGAGATTTTGGGAAATGTTGAGTGAATGCGTGGGGAGTTTTGAATCAAGTGTGAGAGTAATGGTGGTTGGGGATTTCAATGCTAAAGTGGGTAAAAATGTTATGGAGGGAGCAGTAGGTAAATTTGGGGTGCCAGGGGTAAATGTAAATGGGGAGCCTTTAATTGAGCTATGTGTAGAAAAGAGATTGGTAATAAGTAATACATACTTTATGAAAAAGAGGATAAATAAATATACAAGGTATGATGTAGCACGTAATGAAAGTAGTTTATTAAATTATGTATTGGTGGATAAAAGGTTGATGGGTAGGCTCCAGGATGTACATATTTATAGAGGGGCAACTGATATATCGGATCATTATTTAGTTGTAGCTACAGTTAGAGTATGAGGTAGATGGGAAAAGAGGAAGGTGGCAACAAGTAAGAGGGAGGTGAAAGTGCATAAACTAAGGGAGGAGGAAGTTCGGGTGAGATATAAGCGACTATTGGCAGAAAGGTGGGCTAGTGCAAAGATGAGTAGTGGGGGGGGGGGGTTGAAGAGGGTTGGAATAGTTTCAAAAATGCAGTATTAGAATGTGGGGCAGAAGTTTGTGGTTATAGGAGGGTGGGGGCAGGAGGAAAGAGGAGTGATTGGTGGAATGATGAAGTAAAGGGCGTGATAAAACAGAAAAAGGTAGCTTATGAGAGGTTTTTACAAAGCAGAAGTGTTTAAGAAGAGCAGAGTATAAGGAGAGTAAAAGAAAGGTAAAGAGAGTGGTGAGAGAGTGCAAAAGGAGAGCAGATGATAGAGTGGGAGAGGCAATGTCAAGAAATTTTAATGAAAATAAGAAAAATTTTTGAAGTTAAACAAGTTAAGAAAGCCTAGGGAAAGTATGGATTTGTCAGTTAAAAACAGAGTAGGGGAGTTAGTAGGTGGGGAGATGGAAGTATTTGGTAGATGGCGAGAATATTTTGAGGAACTTTTAAATGTTAAGGAAGAAAGAGAGGCAGTAACTTCATGTACTGGTCAGGGAGGTATACCATCTTTTAGGAGTGAAGAAGAGCAGAATGTAAGTGTGGGGGAGGTATGTGAGGCATTACGAAGAATGAAAGGGGGTAAAGCAGCTGGAACTGATGGGATCATGACAGAAATGTTAAAAGCAGGGGGGATATAGTGTTGGAGTGGTTGGTCTTTTGTTTAATAAATGTATGAAAGAGGGGAAGGTACCTAGGGATTGGCGGAGAGCAAGTATAGTCCCTTTATATAAAGGGAAAGGGGACAAAAGAGATTGTAAACATTACAGAGGAATAAGTTTACTGAGTATACAAGGAAAAGTGTACGGTAGGGTTATAATTGAAAGAATTAGAGGTAAGACAGAATGTAGGATTGCGGATGAGCAAGGAGGTTTCAGAGTGGGTAGGGGATGTGTAGATCAAGTGTTTACATTGAAGCATATATGTGAACAGTATTTAGATAAAGGTAGGGAAGTTTTTATTGCATTTATGGATTTAGAAAAGGCATATGATAGAGTGGATAGAGGAGCAATGTGGCAGATGTTGCAAGTATATGGAATAGGTGGTAAGTTATTAAATGCTGTAAAGAGTTTTTATGAGGATAGTGAGGCTCAGGTTAGGGTGTGTAGAAGAGAGGGAGACTACTTCCCGGTAAAAGTAGGTCTTAGACAGGGATGTGTAATGTCACCATGGCTGTTTAATATATTATAGATGGGGTTGTAAAAGAAGTAAATGCAAGGGTGTTCGGGAGAGGGGTGGGATTAAATTTTGGGGAATCAAATTCAAAATGGGAATTGACACAGTTACTTTTTGCTGATGATACTGTGCTTATGGAAGATTCTAAAGAAAAATTGCAAAGGTTAGTGGATGAGTTTGGGAATGTGTGTAAAGGTAGAAAGTTGAAAGTGAACACAGAAAAGAGTAAGGTGATGAGGGTATCAAATGATTTAGATAAAGAAAAATTGGATATCAAATTGGGGAGGAGGAGTATGGAAGAAGTGAATGTTTTCAGATACTTGGGACTTGACGTGTCGGCAGATGGATTTATGAAGGATGAGGTTAATCATAGAACTGATGAGGGAAAAAAGGTGAGTGGTGCGTTGAGGTATATGTGGAGTTAAAAAACGTTATCTATGGAGGCAAAGAAGGGAATGTATGAAAGTATAGTAGTACCAACACTCTTATATGGGTATGAAGCTTGGGTGGTAAATGCAGCAGCGAGGAGGTGGTTGGAGGCAGTGGAGATGTCCCGTTTAAGGGCAATGTGTGGTGTAAATATTATGCAGAAAATTCGGAGTGTGGAAATTAGGAAAAGGTGTGGAGTTAATAAAAGTATTAGTCAGAGGGCAGAAGAGGGGTTGTTGAGGTGGTTTGGTCATTTAGAGAGAATGGATCAAAGTAGAATGACATGGAAAGCATATAAATCTATAGGGGAAGGAAGGCGGGGTAGGGGTCGTCCTTAAAAGGGTTGGAGAGAGGGGGTAAAGGAGGTTTTGTGGGCGAGGTGCTTGGACTTCCAGCAAGCATGCGTGAGCGTGTTAGATAGGAGTGAATGGAGACGAATGGTACTTGGGACTTGACGATCTGTTGGAGTGTGAGTAGGGTAATATTTAGTGAAGGGATTCAGGGAAACCGGTTATTTTCATATAGTCGGATTTTGAGTCCTGGAAATGGAAGTACAAAAGCCTGCACTTTAAAGGAGGGGTTTGGGATATTGGGAGTTTGAGGGATATGTTGTGTATCTTTATATGTATATGCTTCTAAACTGTTGTATTCTGAGCACCTCTGCAAAAACAGTGATAATGTGTGAGTGTGGTGAAAGTGTTGAATGATGAAAGTATTTTCTTTTTGGGGATTTTCTTTCTTTTTTGGGTCACCCTACCTTGGTGGGAGACGGCTGACTTGTTGAAAAAATAATAATAATAATAATAATACATAATAATAATAATATATAATAATAATAATACATAATAATAATAATTCATAATAATAATAATATAATACATATAATAATACATGTATAATAATAATGTACTATATAATAATAATTATAATAATAGAAGGCCTCTAAAGGCTGTCACTAGATGGCAGTGTTTACCACAAAAATACTGGAGAGGTTATGGCTGCCTCCACTTGTCACATAATGACATTTTATTCATTCTAGAGTATATGTCAGGTTTCTATGTTATGTATACTGTTTATTATGTCATATTAAATGAATTGTGATAGATAAATAAGCCATAGAGTTGATATTAGGGAAATTATTGAAGTATTTTATGAACCCTGGAATTCCACTGGAACAAATTAAATGAGGAAAATTGACTCTGCAAACGAGCAAATCCAGATGTGAGCAAGGCCACAGAATGGATTAAACTCATTAGTGGAGGTTCCACTGTACATGTATAAACGTTCTAAAGTGGTTTGTGATAAGTGAGAGTGTACCAGAAGTAAGAGAGTAAAGGGCAGGGAAGGGAATGGAAGGAGAGAGAGATACAGAAAAGGGAAGAGAGAGCAATAGAAATACAAAGGGAGAGATACAGAAAGATACAAACAGACACACACACAGAAAAGAAAGAGAGACACAGAGATGAATTATAAATACACAAATGAAAGCCATATGGTTACTCAGTTCTTTCAACTTTATTGAATGAATTCATAATTTGCTGCCATTATTACAAATCATTTAAAATTATTTTAATGTGAAAGTGCTTTCTAATTTAGCTCATTTGTGGGTTTCAAGTCAATATGAGACTAAGTACGAGATAAAATAAAATCTTCACAATTGGCTGACTATCTGTAAATTGGCTAGGATTATACATAAAAGTATACAAGGCTACCTTATAGATTACTCTAGGAAAATTAAATTAAACCAAATTAAAAACTAAAATCTGGGTTTACTGAACATGAGCAAGGAAAAAACAGATTAGTGAAGAGTACAGGTTCTTACCTTTGATATCTCTATGGACAATGCCCTGTTCATGTAATGCATTAACTGCCTCCAACAGCTGCCTTGTATACTTTCGTACGCTTTCTTCAGGAAGACCAGTTTCTGTGCTTACAGCTAAGCTCTCAAGAGTGCCTTCATCACAATATTCCATAAACATTAGCATCTCATCCTGCCAAGAGATTTCTCAGTATTATAGTAGAGGTCTTTAAAAATTTTCTTGAAAGTGTAAACAAACTGCAAAAAAGTTAATTAACAAATTGTATAAAATTTTATATGCACAACATTTGAAAACAGAACACTGCTTGTGCTAAATAAATAAAAAAAAAGGTAAACATCCTCTGCTTTGGCTTGCTGGTGCTCCCTCAATTCTGATGAATTTAACTGATGGTGAAAAAACTACTGTAATACAAGAGTTTTCACAATAAAGTATGTATAACTAAAAATTGCTACTCTTGGATCCTGAGGCTTCGTTTGTTCGAATATTTCTGTTTAGTCAAAATGTATACGATAATGTCTTTATACATGCACTATACCTGACAAAGCCCAACTGTTAGTGCAACACATAAAAAGATTTCTCTGCTTAGGTCCTACTTAATAGTCTTAGTAACAATTAAACATTAGGATCAGTTTGAATGAAATGCACCATATAATTAGTGGCTTTATTTTATGCCTACCAATGTTTTATTACATGTAAGCTACATTATTTGTACTGCATAAAGAAATAAAAATTGTATTGTGATGTACTGTATTTTTAGAGCTGCAGACCATTTAACCCTTAAATTGTCCAAACGTAGATCTACGTTTTTTCAACATTTTAAAGTAGTATGTAAAAAAAAGTAGATCTTCTTTTTTTTTCACATTTGAAAACGTGTAAAAAAACTTTGATCTACTTTTTTTTTGTTATATTTGAAAATATGTAAAAAAACGTAGATCTACTTTTGGAGCACTACGCATGTGAACGTAGATCTGCTTGGACAGTTTAAGGGTTAAGGGCCTCTATCTGGAAGGGTTCCAGAGCCTAAACTAGACACCTAAAATTGTTGAAATTGCCTTTTAATCAACAGGGGAACTCATTGCTATCCTCAAGTAACCAATCAACTACTCCTCCCCAGGAAGAGTGAGATGAGATGTTTAACTGTGTAGTTCCAGATTTGGGAGTGGGAGGTTTACAATCGCTCATAAAGAATAAAAAAGCACAATACCAAGGCTGGAACAATATACAAATAACCCAAAAGAAACAAACTTATTATGATGTTTCTGACCTGGATCATTAACTAGTCACACAGAGAAACGCAAAGGTAAGGGAGCCAGAATACATATGAGGGGTGAGGTGGGGGATGGGAATGGTAGAGTGGGAGGACGAGGTGGGAGACAGGAGTGGTAGAGTGAAAGGAAGTAGTAGTAGTAGTCAGCAAAGAGTCGGCTCGTAAATTGGAATTATGACTTTTTGGACTCGCTCTCAACAATTCATAAACAAAATCTAAGACAGATACGGCAAAATTCACAAGAGTAAAAAGGCCTTAGAATGAGGCAATCTATAACATAATAGAAGCACATTCAAATCTCTCTAATATTTTTATGCCTGCCCAAAAAAGGGCAAGCATAGCAACACCCATTCTATGTTGTGTTGTGAGTGAATACTGTACTCACTAGACCCAAAGATGACTGAAATCACAACAGGCATGGATATCTCCTAGAACTTTACCAGGGAGACAAAGAGAGAAGGAAGCCATAAATATGGTCGATACTCCTTGACAGAGGCCTGATCCTGGCAAAAAATACCGGCCAACTGCTCTCCTTTGCCCCTTTTTTCTCAATGCTAGTCCGTGTCAGCAAGTAACTTCGGTGATAACACGAATACCCATAGTTCCTCAAATGGAAAAAAAAAAAAAAAGATCCTATTAATTAGGGTACAAGGTAGCAATGAGGTACAGGTACACTAAAAACTTTTACTATTCTATAAACAGTTAATCTTTTATTCGGAATCATGCATGAGATTTAAAAATACAGAGGAACCTCTACTTGCGAGTTTAATCTGTTCCATGACCTTGCTCGCAACTGGATTTGCTAGTTTGCAGAGTCAATTTTCCTCATTTAAATTAACTGAAATGCAATTAAACTGTTCCAGTGGAATTCTGTACTTCAATAATTTCGCTAATATCAACTCTACGGCTTATTTATCTCTCTCACTTCATCTAATATGACATAATAAACAATATAAATAACATAGAAACCTGATATATACTCTAAAATGAATAAAATATGTCATTCATGTAGTGGTATGGGTGGTGTCAGCGGTGGACGAGAGTCTGTCTGGAGACCGGGCAAATTACGTACTTCATGAATAATTTCGTTAATATCATCTATACGACTTATTTATCTATCACAGCTCATCTAATATGACATAACAAACAATATAAATAACATAGAAACATGATATATACTCCAGAATGAATAAAACATGTCATTCATGTAGTGGTATGGGTGGTGTCAGCGGTGGACGAGAGTTTGTCTGGAGACGGGCAAAATACTTCATGAATAATCTCGTAATATCATCTATACGGCTTATTTTCTATCCAGTTCATCTAATATGACATAGCAAACAATATAATACATAGAAACGATATTATCCAGAATGAATAAATATGTCATTCATGTAGTGGTATGGGCGTGTCGCATGGACGATTTGTCTGGAGATCGGCCAAAATACACTACAGTGGACCACGGTTTATACGATATATTTTCACTCCGAAGTAAAGTTCATGGTGCCAGTCACTGACTCAGAATTTGTTCCCATATAAGAATTATTGTGAATAGATTAGTCCATTTCAGACCCCCAAAATACACTACAAACGCACTTACATAAATACACTTACATAATTGGTCACATTGAAGTAATCGTTATCGGGTCACTGTACTTCATGAATTCATTAATACATTATATGGCTTATTATCTATCACAGTTCATCTAATATGACATAGCAAACAATTATAACATTGAAAATGTGTTACTCTGAATGAATAAACTATCTCATTAGTAAGTGGAGGCAGCCTAACCGCTCCCTCTTTGTTGTGGTAAATACGGCCATCTATATGTAGGCCTTCTGAAGCGTTATTATTATTAATATATTTATTACTATTATCACTATTATATGTATTTTATTATAAATATTATATTACTATTATGATTATTATTGTATTATATTACAGTGGACCCCCGACTAATGATATTGTATTTCAATCCAGAAGTCTGTTTGGGTGCTGTTATAGACCGAATTTGTTCCCATAAGGAATATTGTGAATTAGATTAGTCCGTTTCAGACCCCCAAAATATACACCTACAAAAGCACTTACAAAAATACTCTTACATAATTGGTCGAGTTGGGAGCTCATCGTTAGTCGGGGGTCCACTGTATTATACTATTATTATTATACATATTATTATTATACATATTATTATTATACATTATTATTATTATTATTATTATATAAATAATTTGTTATTCCTTATTGCAATAACTGTATAAATAATGTCAACCCATTCCCGACTGAAACAGTCAAGCAATGGACCATTTCTCCTAGGTTGAGCTCTATTTCAAGGTACTTTTCGTCATGAAAGCAATTAAAATCATATCTATTTCTGTAACATATCTCCATTCTATCAAATGAGAAAAAAAAAACGAGAATACAACCATAAAAACCATTCGAAATTACCGCAAAGGGGTGGCTAATTGCTGAGAAGCGAACTCCATTATTTATGCTTAGATTTCTTTCATTTTTGGTGTACATTAAGAAGCATCTTTCCATCGTACATTGCCCAAGTTTCAATAAGATAGTCCAACAAACAAATGAGATACAATTCCCGAGATCAAGAGCAGAAGTCCCTCACCAGTGTCAAGGAACCTGCCTTGAGGTCTGCTCGCTTGTGGAAATTTTGCTCGTGTATGGAAGTAAAAAATCGGCCCATCGACTGCTTGTATTTGGAAAAACTCGCACGTGGACACGCTCGCAAGTAGAGGTTTCACTGTACAGTGGACCCCCGCATAACGATCACCTCCGAATGCGACCAATTATGTAAGTGTATTTATGTAAGTGCGTTTGTACGTGTATGTTTGGGGGTCTGAAATGGACTAATCTACTTCACAATATTCCTTATGGGAACAAATTCGGTTAGTACTGGCACCTGAACATACTTCTGGAGTGAAAAAATATCGTTAACCGGGGGTCCACTGTATAACTAATGAGATATTACTGCATTTGATTTTGTTGGTACACTTTATTAATTAATTCAATACCCAAATTAATCCACAAACTGTGCAGTGCTGCTTTGAAATATCAATAACCAAGACATAAATTTGAGATACAGTATTTACATTACTTTTGAGCAAGCACAATGTGTTTACACTGAGCTTACCCAAAATATGAAAGATGAAACACTGAAACAAACCCAACCTAAGATTGGGGAAAAAGGATGGGGTGATGGCAGCAGTGGAAGGAAAAAAACATTTTAAGCATGACATTTAAATTATCATCACAAACTGGGAATATTTACTCTTATTCTCAAAAATAAAAATTTAAACATTTAAATTTTTTTAATAACCGAGGTATTATTCCAAAATTTTCATAAGGCTATGGTTTAGAGTTTAATGACAAACTTTAAATATGTCTGTGGAATCCTGTATAAATAAAAAAATGTGCATGTAGACGTACATTGTGTATTTCAACACCATAACACTGGACAAGATGCGTGTGATGGATACCCTCAAAGATGCGCAGTTCATCAGCCATGCGTCGTATAGAGCGGTGATCATTGGGTTGCAGTGGAAGAATCTTCATGGCCATCAGCTCTCCTGTGTTATTGTTTACGGCTGTGTACACTTTGCCAAACCGTCCAGCACCTGAATGGGAAAACAGTAATATGTATACAGGAGGGTCCCGTTTTACAGTGCTTTACTTTATGGTGTTTCACTAATGCAGCAGTTTTCAATTATACCCATTCTTCATTTACTGAGATTTCCTACAATATATTCACCGAAAACTAAGGACAAAAATATTTTAAGGTAAGTAATGTGTGTACTGTGTATGAATTTTTAAGCCTAGTTCTATTGCTCACTTAATATATGATGGTGTAAACATATTATAATAATAATAATAATAATAATAATTAATAATAAATTTATTTTGACATGATACATGGTTTTACAAAGGAATATAATAGTTGAGTGTACATGTCAAAAGCCCCTTGTACAGGTACCATCCGACTTACGACCGAGCTTGGTTCCGACCAACCGGATGTAAGTCGAAATAGATGTAAGTCGAACCTTACTACTGAATATAAACATAAAATTTTGTAATGGCTTTATTTTATTGTTTTATTTTGGTATTTCATTTTTTATTTTACTTTTTATGCTGTTAGTACTGTATTTTATACTGTAAGGTTTGGGATAAACACTGTGTACAACACAAACAGTTGCTTATTTCCCAGAAATTTGGCATACAAAATGCGGTCGTAAGTCGAGTGGTCGTATATCGAGCAGGCCGTAAGTCGGATGGTAGGTGTATTGCAGAGCAGTTCGGCTCTTATATGCATTTGAAAGAGAGTGAAAAAAAAAAGAGGGGGGAGGGCTATGTTTCACTTTAAAGTGGTAGCCAGGAACCAAACCTGCTGTATAAGTGGGGTCCTGCTGTACAGACTAGTAATAGGACAATATCAAAGTTTTTGTAGATACGTACTGAAACTTAATTTCACGCTAATATCAACACCATCAAAATTACTCAATACCCACTAATTACAATTAGTCACTTCCCATCGACACTGATAATAGATTTTAGGCCACTACTGATACAATACTACCAAAATTTACCTATATGCACTGATAACAATACATTGCCATACCCTTAACACAGACTATAGCTAACATCAATGCACAATATAGTACATCACACATCAGTATAATACTATGATGACAAAAATTCACAGCAAGATGAAATTATCCTGTAAAAACAACCCCTTTCTAGAATTAAAATAATTTGAAGACTTAAAAAACAGACTGTGGCTGGAAAATCTTACAACTAAATCACAAAATGAAGATAAAATGAGATGACATTTTAGTATGTCAAAATAGAATAATGGTGTTTGCAGATCAAAATACTTACCAGGAGTTTCACATCCGATTTGTGTCAGTTGTGAAATGTAGATACTCTTTTTTGTTTAATGAAACTGCCCTCTCTAAGTTAAGAGACCATAAATTATGTATTAAAGAGGAGGACTTTATCCAGATTATTAACCCCAAGGGTTCATTAACCCAAGATAAGTCAACAGCATTCAGTAGAATACCTAATTTCCAATGGGGTTCTTCAGTCTTTTTTATAGGACTATGACTCACAAATAAGCATATACTGTACCTAGGTACCTACTTACTGTTAGCTGAACAGGGGCAACATGTGTACTGAAACATATTTATCTCTACCATCCCCAATATCAAATCCAGGTCTTTCAGTTGAAAGTCAAAGATGCTACCAATGTGCCAAGAGTCGACCCAGCTTAGGGTCGAGCTACCACCATATGCATACCAAGTAAGACAGGACACTATGACATGCTGGAGGAGATACTGTACCATACTCTTGTAGTCGAACAAAATATTTCCATACATCTAGCTAAAGATACTAGAAAGAGAATGTGGGCATAGTGTTTTCACACATGTGCATTACTCATCGACAAGTAGAGTTCATTTAATCATCCAGAAGTCGAAAAAACTTTGTAAACAAGTGCACTGTAAAAACGAAACCAAATCTTTTATTCAGGCTAAGAAAAACTATGTCATAAAATAGCGACAAAATTCTCCAGTGGATTGTACAACAGGAATAAGATATGAAACACCCAATGAACATGACCTAACAAAATTCCTTTGTGAACGTGGCCTGGTCGAGACAATAATCCATAGCACAAATCTGGCAATACAGTGATGGAGTGAATGACGGTGAAAGTTTTTCTTTTTCAGCTACGCTACCTTGGCAGGAAACAGCCAATGTGTTAATAATAAATAAAACAAATCTAAAAAAATCCAAGTACGTACATACATAACCCTCCTCCCCTTAATGCTTTATCATTCAACTTTGTTCAATATTCTAGCAAAAATTCCTAACCTAGTTTAATTTAATTTTTTTATATATACACTAGCCCATTCTTTGTGTATTATCTTGTACAGTGGAACCTTGGCTTACGAATGCCCCATCAAGCAATTTTTTCAGGATACAAACAGTCGCTTAGTCGATTTGTTGCTTCTGGATACGAACAAAATTTCAGGATGCGAACTTCCCTCTCAAGGGAGGTTTCTTAACCCTTAAACTGTCCAAACGTATATCTACATTTTTTCAACATTTGAAAGTATGTAAAGAAAAAGTAGATCTTTTTTTTTTTTTTTTTTTTTTACATTTGAAAACGTGTAAAAAAACTTTGATCTACGTTTTTTTTTGTTATACAGTATGTATTTGAAAATATATATAAAAAAAAGTAGATCTACTTTTGGAGCACTATGCATATGAACGTAGATCTGCTTGGACAGTTTAAGGATTAAATAAATAAATAAATAAAATATTAATTTCTTTGCAAAGGTTACAATGTGTGTTTACATATCGTAATATGATTGGAGCAAAGAAAGCCACTATCATGCTGAGGTATTTCAGGCAGACTTAACCTAATACTTATAGACTACTTAAGTCTAGACAGGTGAAAAGTAGTAGTGGTTACCAATGTTTTGCTGATTGTGGTGCCAACTACTTTCAGCCTTCTAAATTTCTCCTTACTGTTATTACATATTATTATCATTATTATTACTATTATATTGTATTATTATTATAATAATAATATAAGGATGTGTGATGTCACCGTGGTTGTTTAATATATTTATAGATGGGGTTGTAAGAGAAGTAAATGCGAGGGTCTTGGCAAGAGGCGTGGAGTTAAAAGATAAAGAATCACACACAAAGTGGGAGTTGTCACAGCTGCTCTTTGCTGATGACACTGTGCTCTTGGGAGATTCTGAAGAGAAGTTGCAGAGATTGGTGGATGAATTTGGTAGGGTGTGCAAAAGAAGAAAATTAAAGGTGAATACAGGAAAGAGTAAGGTTATGAGGATAACAAAAAGATTAGGTGATGAAAGATTGAATATCAGATTGGAGGGAGGAGAGTATGGAGGAGGTGAACGTATTCAGATATTTGGGGTGGACGTGTCAGCGGATGGGTCTATGAAAGATGAGGTGAATCATAGAATTGATGAGGGAAAAAGAGTGAGTGGTGCACTTAGGAGTCTGTGGAGACAAAGAACTTTGTCCTTGGAGGCAAAGAGGGGAATGTATGAGAGTATAGTTTTACCAACGCTCTTATATGGGTGTGAAGCGTGGGTGATGAATGTTGCAGCGAGGAGAAGGCTGGAGGCAGTGGAGATGTCATGTCTGAGGGCAATGTGTGGTGTGAATATAATGCAGAGAATTCGTAGTTTGGAAGTTAGGAGGAGGTGCGGGATTACCAAAACTGTTGTCCAGAGGGCTGAGGAAGGGTTGTTGAGGTGGTTCGGACATGTAGAGAGAATGGAGCGAAACAGAATGACTTCAAGAGTGTATCAGTCTGTAGTGGAAGGAAGGCGGGGTAGGGGTCGGCCTAGGAAGGGTTGGAGGGAGGGGGTAAAGGAGGTTTTGTGTGCGAGGGGCTTGGACTTCCAGCAGGCATGCGTGAGCGTGTTTGATAGGAGTGAATGGAGACAAATGGTTTTTAATACTTGACGTGCTGTTGGAGTGTGAGCAAAGTAACATTTATGAAGGGATTCAGGGAAACCGGCAGGCCGGACTTGAGTCCTGGAGATGGGAAGTACAGTGCCTGCACTCTGAAGGAGGGGTGTTAATGTTGCAGTTTAAAAACTGTAGTGTAAAGCACCCTTCTGGCAAGACAGTGATGGAGTGAATGATGGTGAAAGTTTTTCTTTTTCGGGCCACCCTGCCTTGGTGGGAATCGGCCGGTGTGATAATAAAAAAAAATAATTATAATAATATTAAATATGTATTATTATTATCATTCGTACATACGTGGTGAGGGGCTCTTGATCTAGGGAACTGGATCGTTGCTCCAGTTAACTAAAGAATAATAATAATAATTATTATAATACTGTACATGAATACTAATAATAATAATACGTAATAATAATAATAAAACAACAGTGACATACCATAACAGTAGTACATTTGTTGTCATTTTTTGACATTTTTCGTTTTTTTTTTTTTTTTTATTTTTGTGTCAAATGCTTCAAAAAACAAATTGGTAACTCTCTGGGTGGCTGTAGGTACAGCTGCTATGACGCCATCTAAGTGCTGACCAAGGGCAGAAAGGAAGAGGAGGTGCGTCGCCCTGAGTGACTGTAGCAGACCCTTGGGACACAATTTTGTCTTATACTGCACAAATTTTTTACACAATGCCTCGTTCAAAGAGACAGTATTCACGTACAATCAGCAGGAAACTCAGGAAGCAATTACGAACTATGAAAAAAGCTAGAGAAATGAAGACAGCAGCAGCAGAGAGTGAGGCAGATGGCTGCCGCCGCCACCACAAATGTGCCCACAGTGATCAAGTCTTCACCTATATATACACGTCTTGACCACACCTGTGGTTACATATGTGACAACCTCACCACCAATCATAGATAAACACAAGATAGGTGTGGGGTTATGGACTCTGCCAGGCAGTACCAGCATAAAACTTCTATGATATGTAAGATACTAATTAAGAGCCTAGCAAGTAAATCAGTGAAAAGTGAACAAAAAATAAAAATTATTTACTACATTGTTTCAGTTTTATGAAACTGATCTAGTGCAGTTAGTCTCACAAACACTCCATTTTCTCTTATAATAAGAGCATGGGAAGATACTATAGTCAGAGTGGGAGAGTAAATGGCAGAT